CTGTGTGACCCAGGCTCCTACATGCTGAATGGACCTGGCCTGGTCTGCTAGTGCATGGCCTTGGAAGGGCTGGGTCCATTCAGCATGTAGGAGCCTGGGTCACACAGTACCACGTCACTGCCCACCTATGCCTGCAGCAGAGCCACAGCCAGGCTGCCTGCTGGCACTGGCGCTGCTGGGGGCAGGTGGAGGGGCAGGCATGTGGCAGGGCCATGGGGTGGCGAGAAGGTGTAGGGGGACAATTGGCCAGAGCTGGCAGTATGTGGTGGGACCCAGCCCGGCCCAGCCCAGCGCCCCACAACTGGCTAGTCTTGCTTTGCACTGGAGTGGGTCGCGTGGCTCCTGTGCAAAGGCACACTAGCTGCACAGCCTGGGCTGGATTGAGCTGGAGGGGCTTGTTGGAAAATGCACCCTGCCAGCTCAATCCAGCCAAGGCCATGCAGCTACTGTGCCTTTGCACAGGAGCCACATGACCCGCTCCAGTGTAAAGCTAGACTAGCCAGTTGTGTGGTTCTGGGCCCGGTCCTGCTGCACGCCACCTCCCTGCCTGCACAGTGGGGCAGGCAGCACTGCTGCCAGAAGCCGGAGCCAGCGCAGCGTGCAGGGACTGTGCACCGAGCCACGCTGGATCTTGCTGGCACTGGGGTCACTCACACTACCAGGTTGGCCCGGTCCCCAGCTGCATGAGCAACCTCAGTGCCAGCAGGAGCCGGCACAGCTCAGCACGCGGTCCCTGCATGCCACACCAGGTCCTGCAGCCATGGGACCAGGCCAGCCTGGCTGCACGAAGGCCCCAGAGCTGGCAGGACCCGGCATGGCTCGGCACCCAGTCCTTGCATGCCACGCTGGGTCCTGCAGCCATGGGACCAGGCCGACCTGGCTGAGTGAGGGCCCCAGTGTCAGCAGGACCCGGGACAGCTTGGCACTGGGTCCCTGATGGACTCGGCTGGCATGGTCCCTGCAGGCGTGCTGTTCCTGCTACAGAAGGTTAGTTATGAGCCCTGTGCAGGGGGGCTGTGGCCCTGCAGAGTGCCTGGGACCCTGTATGGAGGGGACGGGGACCCTGCAGAGTGCCTGGGGCCCTGCAGGGGGAAGCTGGGGCCCTGCAGGGGGGGAGGCAGTCCATCCACACCTACCCACACACCCACCCGCCTTCCCCCACAACCCTTCCCAGCCCCTTCCTGCAAACCCCACATCCCCCCCATCACACACCCATCATGTGTGAAGAAAGCCAAAAGCACACATTCACACATGTAGATATTTAGAATTTATTTATCATGAAGATAGAGACACTGGTAGGCTTCCAAATTGCTTTAACATTGTAAATATATCAATAAAGCATTGCCCAACTGATCGATCTCTCTCTGTTTGTCTGTCTGTCTGTCTCTTTATGTGTGTATGTAGAGTGGTCTTTTGTTCTAAGTGTGGAAGAACATGGATTTTGAGGTATTCAAAAAAATGGATTTGGGATGCTGCTGCAGCAGTCCAGCTGGCACAAGGGGTAGTGTCCCCAGGTACCAATTGGCTGGGCCCCAGAAGCTCCTGAGAGAGAGTAGCCCTGAGCTGCTTGCTAGGGCAGCTTTTTGTATGGACGGGGCCAGGACAGGGCCGCTTTTTATACTGCTGGGGCCAGCATGGGTGCTGGCCCCGGGCTCTAGGTCCCGCTGGCTGCAGATCTGGGAGAAGCCAAGCAGGGTTATTTTGCCCCAAGTGGCACAATTTGCTCTACAACAAAGTACGTGTCCCGGCACATAAGCGGAGGCAAAAAGCCCCGGCTCAAATTTGCACCGCTTCTGTTTAAACTGCTGCAAGCACACGTGCTTGCATGTGTGGACGCGCCCACAGAATTTAATAGTTGGGATTTTCCTGAAATGTGATCATTGAGACAACATGACCTGTTCAATACAGTCTTTCATAGGCTGTACCATACACTCTTTTTTTGATTAATTTTTCCCCCCCCCTTCCTTAGACATGGTACAAATTGAAGCTTGCAGTCTTTACCAGCCACTTATCTTATACTTTTTGTTGACCAAAATGGATTTAATAACATTATAAACTTGATTAATGTTTATAATTTGAAACAAAGGGATATCTTTAATTAACTTGTACTCTCCATCACCCCTTTTCTTTGCTTATATTTTTCTGCAGTCATTTCATACTTTCATAGATGTCCAAAAACTAACAAGAAGAAACGAAATGAGGAAAAAACCCTGCCTCATCAATTTGCATCTCTCAAGCAGGGAAAGAAACAAGAGGTAGAAATTTTACCATTCCTCAATTATTGGGAGGCATCCGCTACTTCAGAGACAGGGGAGCCCAGATAAACAGATATGTTATTTTACTGTTGACTTATTATACAGTCTATTATTTTCATTTACCATAGTTTAGAACAAGCAAAATGATGTTCTTGTTTTTCCATATTCTTTGAAAATATTTTAAAGTGAAAAAGAACATTCACTTGTCTTTAAAATAGTATTTTAATTACTTATGTTGTGTCTGATCAGAATGGCAAGGCTTTTGTTAAAACATGGCTTAATTGTTTCACGAAGCCTTCATAGAACCCATACACATAAAGCGCTTTTCTTCATACTTTCAAGACCTAAATTTGCAGTTGGCTTACTACCAGCGCACTCGAGCAGATCGTCACGTAAGTGGCGGCAGAACCCGTGTTGATGAAGTAATCATAGTTGACTGCCTTGCTTGCGCTATTTCACAAACATGCCCGCAAACAAAAATCGGATATGCATGTTGGTTTTGATTTTGAATTCATTCAAAAATGCTTTTGCTATGTCAGAAAGCATGGAGACACCTTCACGGACTGTTGGCTACGCCTCGGCAAAGCTTTGCAACAGTCCATTAGACAAAAAAAAGGAGCCTGATGCAGATACCTTAATAAGCATCCCATCTGTGAGGTCATTGGGATATTTCAAGCAACTTTCAACTCTCATTAGTTTAGCAGTTTCCACAAGCATGTCCTTATCTTTTGTAACTTTTGCAGCCAAACTTCCTGGGAAAGCCTCTGAACTGGATGACACTTTTACCCATGGGTCAGTCTGCAGTAATGAGCCACCAATTTGTGTCCTCTGCACTTTCAGGCTGTATATATTTGTCTTAACCTTTCATGTTGTGAAATTTCTCCTTTTATCCTTGTAATTCTCTGGCTTCTACAATGCAAATCTCATTATTCTTAATAGGCTGCAATTAGGGTCTTCAGGCTGTTGATCACACTTGTTTGGAACAGTTGAAGGGCACTTTGCGAGAATAAGACCTTTTTTTTTTTGTATTAATAATGAAATGGGTAACACAGATTGTGCCTATGACTAGCAATGGAAATGCCAGTTGGAAGACTTCTCTTTAATCCTTTTATGTGGCTTGTAAATGAAGAGTACGTATCACCATCCTCAGCTTCATGTCAAATGCATTGTGCATTTAACCTGCAGCATGTAACCTAGGCTTAGAAAGTCTTAAATCTTTCAGGCCTGATTTGGATACATGGTCACTTATTTTTATTAGTTGTAATATTTATTATACTGTTTTGCACTTGACAGAGGAAACTCAGGTTATTCAGCAGAGATGCTTGATACAATGTCTTTTGTGCTTTACTGAAGGCTCCCATCTCTGTGTGTGTCTATTGGATTAAAGGCAGCAACTTCCTCTTAATGTGTAAAAGAGTAAATCAAGCAGCAACCCTTTCCCAGGCCTCTGACATTTCTTGGGTTTTGCTTGTTGGAGTAAAGGCCAAAACCTATGAATGACTTTCCTCCCATAGTGTGAAACCCGCATTTACGCCCTCAATTCACAAGATTGTTAAAGGGAGTAGAGTGTATTCACCCGTCACTGGAAGTGTTCGGCTTCCAGCACAGTTGGGCCATAAACATGGACTACAGGATCAGGTCTTGTACAGTGTCTAACATTATTTAAACAATCACCTTTACTTACATTCTCAGGCAGAATTCATATTTTTTCTTTAAGGATTTTTGGGAGGAATATACCATATTTACTTGAATAAAAGATGATTAGATTCCATAGATGGAATTTCCCAATAATTAGATTCCATATATGGAATTTTTTTCCATATATACATAATTTTCCAGGTATTCCAGTCTAATTATTGGAGGTTTGCCTTGAATTTGTCCCCTTCCTACTGCTACAGCAGGAAAACTAATCTGGCAGGGGTCGGGGTCAGATGGCTCCTTTGCCCTCCGGTCCCCCAACTTCTTCCTCCTGCAGTCACTTCTCTACCCCACTGCCTTACTGTCAGACCCTGCTCTCTCTGAGCATATAAAAATGAGGGGCAAATTTGAAAATACTGATTTTGAAATAAACATGCCTGTAGTAATGTGCATATGAACAAAATATCAAGGGTACCCATAGACTTACTTCATCCAGAATTGGTACATTTTACCTTTTTTTTTAAAACCACTTCAAGTTTTAGCACAGGTACTGCATAACACACTTTAAAGCAGCACTTCTGTACCCACTTATATAGTACAAATTATGCACAATATTAGTTCAAAGCCACAATGTTCATGATATACCATATAGTTCACTGGGCTGGGCCCCAGCAGAATCAATAAGTGTTTCAAGCCATGGTAACCCCAGAGCTCTTACTACTCAGTAGGTGTGTGCACCCTAAACCCCCTCAACAAAACAGCCATATGCTAATTAGTGCCGCCTCTCCCCACTCATGACTGGAACCAAATGTTCTGGTCATGAAAACTGGGATGCTCCAAAAATTTATATGCAGGTGAGGCACAGGGCAACCTGGCTTGGCTCCACTTCCTGCAATGTGGGGCCATACTCATTTATATTCAAGTAAATACAGTGAAACTCTCTTTGTGTTGGAGGATAAACCAACCTCCAGTTGATGCAAATTAAGAATAAATTTCCCTTGCTGATGGATTATCTATAACTGCCTATTACAGTATTTCTTGCACCGGCTTCCAAAATAGCTGGTATATCAGCCACTGCCAGGGGATACTGAACTAAATGGACTACTGCTCTGATACAGCATGACAGTTTCTGGGGTCAGTCATATTTCAATTTGTTCAAAAGGTGCTTTAAAATACAACACAGTGCCTGTACAGATTACAGAACAACTTTAGACGTCTCATAAACGCAGAAGTGTCAAATCTGTATTGGCCTTTGGGAGAGAAAATAGTAAAATCGGATTATGCATTCACTGTTCACAGTTTTTTGGAAGAATCCTATTGACATCAAATTTTGGATTTATGTTTACTTTTAAAAATTAGCATACTTGCTGGAGTCTTTTTATATGAAGTTTAACATAAAATATTTGAAAAACACTTTCAAATCACATGAGGTAATGATAATCTTATTTAGGAAAATACCATATTTATAACAGGGTATAAAATAGTTCTAAATCAAAAGACCAGAAATGGTATAAAAAGCCATCAAGTTGGTATTTGTTCTGCTTTCTCGAAAATATACTCTAATAGCCTAATAAAAGATATTGTATAAGATGTCATACTAATCTGACCATTAATGGAACTACTAAAAATAAAATCCCAAAGTTACTGGTCCCCTAAAACAATTTAATGTTAGTTGTTGAGTTATTGCTCCTATTTCATTCTGAAGTATATATTTTAAAAATTGAAATTGCTGAATTAGCAAAGTGAGAATTTCAGGAGACCCTTAATCTTGAATCAGAATTCAATACAAGCAGAAGGTGCTAATGTGTTTATCACTTGTTCTCCTCTGTATTTCACTTCTTCTCCTTTCTTACACCCAATACTTTGTCCACATGTTGGTTAGCTCATCTTGAACTACTAGAACTCCCTACTCTATGGTCTCCCATCTTCTCAAAATCATATTCCTCTCCTGCTGCTTTGATTTTTGTCAGTTCCCATTTCACATGCCTGCCCTGAGCTACCCACAACTTTTCAAGAATCTCATCCTGATCTTTAAGACTCTGCACAGTTGCACACCTTTCTTCATTTCCATTCTCTTGTCCTCTTAGTCACTAATCTGCTGTCTTTGTATATGTTCCCAAATCCTCTGTTGCCTTCCAGAACTTTCAGGGCTTCAATGGAGCTATGCTGATTTACACCAAGTGAAGAACTGCAATACACAGCTGCAACTGCATGACTTGGGAGTAGTAACACCAGTGCCATAGCAAGGAAGTTTGGCACCTGGGGCAAAGCCCACAGTGGCAGTCCGCCCTCACCCTGCACACAGACTGGGGGGATACATACCCCACCATGCTTGCCCAGGAGTGCACGCAATGGCAAGAGCCACCCTCCCCCTGTCCCGGCGCCCCTGCAAACGAGCAGCTCGTGGCTCTGTCCCGCACCCTGCCCAAGCTGGAAAGTGCCTATTGCTGCCCCTTCACTTCGGCACCCAGGGTAATCGCCTCAGTCCCCTCCCTGAGTAACACTAATGTCATTGCCAGTGGAAGTCTAATGCAATTGTCTAGAGGTTTATGAACAGTATAACGCAGCTCATGTTCTGTGCAAAAATTACAAACTTGTAGCACTTTTATACCCATTTTTCTAAATGTGCCCTGATGAAAATAGAAAACAAGGTTCACTGTATTATTATTATTATTATTGTACTCTGCCATACAAGTTCTTTTGCAAACAAAGTAGGCACATCCCCACAAGCACGAACATTTGTTCTCTGGGGACAACTAACGGTGACACATTTTTTGCCACTGCTGGTTGTCCCCAGGGAATGCCCCTGCACATGTGCTCTGGCACATGGCAGTTTGGCCTAGGTCCCCTTCCCCATCACAGCTAAGAAACCGTTCCAGCCAAACTTCCAGTATCACCATCCCCAGATCCTATATGGAATCAGGAGCAGTTTCCTGTTCAGAGTCAGCTACCCATATGGATTTGCTGCTACTTCTCTCTTTCACTTTCATCTGAACCCCCATCTAAAATCTTCACTTCTCATAGTCTGTTTCCTGGCTCGAGTGGATACCCCCCATTCTCACTGTGCCTTTCATAACCTTGCTTTTCAGAACTGCTTTTTTTGGAAGTGCATGACTAATTCATTCTCCTAGGCCTCAGCTCCCAAGCTTCTCTCGGTCCTTTCTGCCACCAAGTGAGAAGTTTCAGAAAATATTATTTTTGAAGATAACTATCATGGTGGGTATTTACATAGATTTTTCCTGTTTCTTCAAGCTGAGAGTTGCTTTGCTTCTGCCCATTTGAACTTTTCAGCTAGTCAGCTGAATGTCATGGGCGTAATTTTCTTTTAGTTCAAGTCACTAGAAGTTGTTTGCACAAAATTT